TATTTTGCTCATCATACTCCATGTATTAGAAGTGCTCACTTATTATAATTGCTCACTTTTCAAGCCAATACTATCTATATGCATGCAATCTACAGTCAATTTAACTGACTAGAATCAAGGGCACATTGTACCATCCTACTCACAGGTCTCCCTTGGGTGAGACTAGAAGTACTTTCTACCTCTTTCTGGCTACCTAGATGAAGATTCTTCCTTTATTTTCCAAAAATAATGTTCATGTGGCCATGGGATGTAGTGGCTTGTAGTCCAAAGGCATTTGAATAAGATAGCAAGTGATATTGATAAAGTATAACTCTGCAGTAAAGTAAGTAAATAAACCAATCCATAGACAGCTAGTCAGCTTTCCTCCTTAGGAATTGTTCAGACTTTAGGGTTAAATTAAACTCTTCCTAGGAGCCAAATGGATTTTTTCTATAAAACTTTCCTCCTTAAAGTAGTGCCCTAACACTGTCTAAGGAATGGGACTGCTGTTATTTAACACACCTATATGCACTCTTGGCTTTTCAGCCACTTATTTCAGTTCATTAATATAGTTAAGGAAAGTGGGATGCTTCAAAGCAGGTTAAATAATGGGCTTTTTATACCTATAGAATGCATTTTGCACTAGCCACTGGGGATTATTACTTTAGTCGTTGAGTTGTTTGAGTCATGTCAAACTCTTCATGACCCCATGGACCTTTGTCCGTAGAGGGTTTTTTTTGGGTTTTTTTGTTTGTTTTTTAGCTAGGCAATAGGGTTAAGTGACTTGCCCAGGGTCACACAGCTAGTAAGTGTTATGTGTGTCTGAGGCCGGATTTGAAGTCAAGGTCCTCCTGAATCCAGGGTCGGTGCTCTATCCACTGCACCACCTGGCTGCCCCATTAGTTAGTTCGTTTGTTTTTTTTCATAGAGTTTTCTTGGCAAATATGTTGTAGTGGTTTGCCATTTCTCCAGTGGCAAATAGAGATTAAGTGATTTGCCTAAGGTCACATAGCTGAGAAGTTTCTGAGGCTGGATTTGAACTCAAGTCTTTCTGATTCTGAACCCACTGCTCTATCTACTGAGCTAACTCAGGCTGCCAGATTATTGAGTAGATATTAGTTATTCTTTAATTGCTTTTAAGCATGCTAATTACATTTCTATCCAGTACTAAAACTATAGCTCTTCAGAGCATACATAACTCCTTGATCTAAATAAGTTGTTCAGAAATTGTTTTTGTAGGAATGGGCAGGGTACATTGGAAGAATATGTGAAGGTTAGGGAAATATTTTGTTTATTTTCATTTAACTTCAAAATTTTCTTGGAAATTATAATCTAGGCACTGGCTTGTTATTAAGCAGGTGATACATTGTGTGCCTTTGGGGAAAAAATAATAGGTAAATAGGCAAGAAATTGAATCTTTATTTTCGTAGAAGTTATTTCTTCAGATCTATAATCTAATTAATATGGACACTGCTTCCAGCCATGCAGATCACAACTCTTTTATACCTTCTCAAGAATACCTCCTATACTGTTACCCCTCTTGTCAATGTCGTTTTATAACTTGTCCACCTTCTCTACCTGGAGCCTTCCTCTTAACATTTTTGTGAGTACCAGTGGAGCACATGTGTTGCCTGTCTGTGAGGCTTAGCTCTCACTACATAACTGGGTCACCTTTTCCAGTCATATATTTCTCTTGTGACGTCCTTTGCAACACCTTTCTTATGCTGTATTTGATTGGTAATATGTTGCCACTTGCTTAGCCACTGTGCCCTCCATTGCCTCTTAGAAAACCCTCAATTTTAATTTTCCTAACACAGGTATTCCATGACTTAAAATTATACAGCATTATTGTGAGAAAATTGATGTTGGGGCAGCTAGGTGGCGCAGTGGATAGAGCACCGGCCCTGGATTCAGGAGGACCTGAGTTCAAGTGCGGACTCAGACACATAACACTTCCTAGCTGTATGACCCTGGGCAAGTCACTTAACCCCATTGCCTAGCCCCCCCCCCAAAAAAACCTGATGTTAAAAAAAAAGGTGGTCTTTTGTTTCAGGGAGAAATTTGAGGCCACTAAAAGCAGTGCACAACTTCTCAAAAGTCAGTCCAACCTCCTTTTTTTCAATTCTGGGCCCACCTCATTGTCCATGCTCAGAGTGTATTCAGGTACTGAACAAAGGATATACTTCCAACTTTATATCATAGGCTGAACAATAAACACTCCGTATCTGCTTGTAGTTTGAACACTTTTAAGTGATTACCAATCTCATTTAGGAGGCCCCACAGTGTAAAGTTTTGATGCCATCATACAATGTCACCTACAAACAAGAAGACTTTACTATCTCTACTGCATATCCTCTGACAGTGGCAAACACTTTTGGTAAGCATACTTCTGCCTCTTTTGTGCCTTGTTCTCAGTGATCAGTGAGTCTAAGGTTAAAGTTAACTCTTTAAAAGTTAAAGTTAACTGTTGCTACCTCTTTTAAAGAATCTTGTATGAGGTTGACACATTCATGGAAAACACCTTGTTGGAGGAGAGATTTTAGGGTGGCAGTTTGCTCTACCAAATCAAGTACTTGTTTATAATCAACACAATAAGCACAGCTGCATCTTATATCTCTTCCCCCTTCAGCCAATTTTGTGACTGTAAAAACGTGGTCAGCTATAGAAAATCATTTGTAAATGCCTATCTGTTTACTTCTCATGCATGCATCGATGTCGCCCGGTGCAAACATAGGTTATTCTTGTAAAATTTTTTTGTAGAAGTGGGAAAGTAGGCATATGGTTCATAGTTTTTAATATTTTCTTGCTCATTTTTTTAATTTTAAGGGGTTTTTTTTCAAGGTTTTGGCATCCTCCATCCTTTCATGTATGTTAAGAATTGCACCTTCAGTGCCTTCAAAATTATCTTGCCTCCACCACAGAGCTTCTCTGTATATTCTTGGTCTAGTACACTGCTCTTTTCTTCTTTCTTTTCTTTAGTGCCATTACTATGTTCTCATGCACCTCTACATTCCTCGTTAGGGTCTGTCATTTTAAAGCCCAAATGCGGGATTGTCATTGACTGAGAAAAGAGAATACTAAAAATCTTTACAGATCTTTTCAAAATTTTTTATGTCTATAGTCCTTCAGATTTTGTTCTTAAATTCCCCGGTCATGATTTTGTCTTTTTTTTTTTTTTTTGGTTAGGCAGTGGGCTTAAGTGACTTGCCCAGGGTCACACAGCTAGAAAGTGTTATGTGTCTTGAGTCCGGATTTGAACTCAGGTCTTCTTGAATCCAGGGCTGGTGCTCTATCCACTGTACCACCTAGCTGCCCCCCTGTCATGATTTTGAACCAAGCTTTTGGTAAAATTGTTCCTCACTCCTTCCTGCCCTTTGCATCTCACTGTTTTATGAGGCTATATAGCTTCTAACTTCCCATCCTTCTCCATAAGATTTAACAAATGAGTTATCCTAAACTGGCATTGTCCTTGGCCAACATGTCTCTTTGCTTGGCAAAGACAGCATGTGTTGACTGATAAGGCAATTTATCGGGTCTTTTCGTCTCTTTATTGTGACAGTTGGTTTAAGATAGTTAAAGTTCTTTAGAAAATGGTAATGATCTGTGTCAGCAATGTTTAGTCTCTTAGCCATTCTCCATTTTTCAGCTTTAATAGCTTAATAGGTTGGAGTTTTCTCATATGTATGTCTTATTTTTGTTTTTTTGGGGTTTAGTATTGATTTTTGATCTTGGCTTTAATAAGTGTTGTGGTCTGACAGTGTACAAGGAGCTGGTAAAACGTATTGGTGAGAAGTCATTTCCTATCATTGTAACCAGATTCATTTTTTATGGTATTACTTATCCCTTTATTCAACACCTTTCAATCTTCTTATCTTAAAAAAAATCATTGAACATTGGCATGAGACTTCTGTCTTGTCTAAAAGCTTTTGACTGCTTTTTTGTTCTAGAACTGTTATCCAACATATTTTTACTGTCTTCCCTTATGCCTACTTTAGCATCGAAGGCACTGAGTTTTAAATATGTTGATTTAATCTTCAAGGTTTTCTTGAGTTTTTTAATAGAATTTCCTTCTTAATCTTTTGCAGTGGGTGTTGTCACATAAGCTGCATTTATTTGCATGGTGGTCTTCTTGCAAATGACCCTTGCAATAGGAGGTATCCATGAAATGATGTTTTTTTGTTGCCTGTAGACAAAATAAAATAAACTTCTTTATTTACCTCTCCAAGTAAAACGTCTGAGGCATCTTTTCAGTTTCCCTGCAACTTCCTTTGTCTTATATTTTCATTTTTAGCAACTATGTAAAATTGATGTGGTTCAGTTCCTCTAGTATATGTCCATCATTGGCCAATGCACAAGGATTTCACATTTATAATACCAACAACTAAGTTAAACTTTATAGGTGGTCTTAAAAAATATGATTTTAAACTTTTCTTCCCCCTTTCTCACCACTCTGCTACAGTCACTATAGAAGGGGAGGGAGCCACACAGTTTATATGTTTCTTTGTTTCATAAGATGCTATAATTAACCTCTCTGTGCTTAACTAGATGGATCTCAGAAAGCAGATATGATTTATTGGGAAGAGATTATGATTTCCAGAAATGAAGAGAATAATAAGAAAGTTCACACTTAAAGGGAAAAGAAAGAAATAAAAAGGGAAAGAGCTCTTTTATCTTAGGTGAACTTTAAAACAAACTTTTTTTGTTTTAAAAGTAATTTGAGTGGCAGAGCAAAACTGAGACTATTGGAAGCTGATCTGGTAAGAATCATTGAGTGGCATTGATGCATCTGAAATACTTTTTAAGGGTCACAAAAGTTTAACCTAGTAAACAAAATTCAATTTTAAAATATGTTAAGTGGTTGGTTTTTTTTAAGGATTTAAATTTAGATTTTTAGGCTCTCGGTGTTAGGAATGGTTTTCCCATAGTTAAATTTATTATGTGAGCAGTTTGTAAAAAATAATTTTAAAATTCAAATTCTTCCTTCCAACCTCTTTTAAATCACTGTTATTTCCACTGTTTAGGACCTGTTTGCACTGGGCATGCAAGCGGAATCATGGCCAGGTGGTCTCTTACCTGTTAAACTCAGGAGCTGACAAAGAGATTCTTACCACAAAAGGCGAAATGCCAGTCCAATTGACATCAAGAAAAGATATCAGGAAGATTATGGGAGGTAAGTCTGGACCAATGAACAACTTCTGATTATGTCCAACTAACATTTGTATCTCATGATCATGTTTTCTGCAGTGTTGGTTATGTTAAATAATCATTCACAAACATTTATTAATTGCTTACTATGTGCAGAGTATTATACTCTATTGGGGAAGGTGTAAAGTATGGATGAGACACATTTTCTGCCATTTATACTGTAGTAGAGGGGTAAGATGCAAATACAAGTAATTATTATATGCAACGTTACATAATAAGTGCATTAATGCAAAGTGTTACATAAGATCCAAGATGGCAAACTGTTACTTATGGGAGATGAGGGCAAAGCTTTTTTCATAGAAGAGGTAGCATTTGAATTAGGATTTAAGGAATGGGTAGGAATTAGCAGGAAATAGGGAAAGAGAGGGCATTGTAAGCAAGAGAAAGAATATGAGCAAAGACATGAAGGTTGGATTATGCACAACCTGTTCAGGAAGCTCAGAGTAGTCTAGTTTGGCTTCATAGAGAGAAAAATGAGGGCAAAGAGATAGGTGGTTCCATATTGAGGAGGGCCTTGAATGCCAGGCAAAGGGGAGCTATGGAGATTTTTTTTCTTTAAGCATATGGTTGGGGGGACATGACCAAATTTATCTACAAGAAAAATAATTCTGTCAGCGTTATCAGTTATTTTACTGCAGAAAGAACTGTTAGAAGGTTGTTAGTATAGTCCATGCAGATGGTAATAAGGGCCTGTCCTAGAATAATTGCAGTTGGAAAAAGAGATGAATGTGAGCACTATTGCAGAGGTGAAGTCAACAGGACTTGATTGGATATGAAGAGAAGGAAAAAAGAAAATTAAAAGATAACTCAAGGTTCTGAACATGAGGATAAATGGTGATGTCTGTAGGTAGAAATAATGAAGTCAAAAGGGGACCAAGTTTAAGAGGAAAGATAATAACCTTGCTTTTGGACATATTGAATTTGAGAGTCTGGTGAGACTTTCAGGTAGAAGTAACCTAGAAGGAGGTTAGAGCCAAAATGGCATAGTAGCATAAAGCAGTGCTCTGAGCTCTACCCACCAAAAAATACTCTAGATAGATCTAGAAAATTTGTCAGACTGAACCTTGATGGTGAAATCCAGAAGTCACAGTTGTTTGTCCAGCCTGGGTTGACATTAAGAGATAGAAAAGTTTGTGGACACTGGGGAGAGGGTCAGGCTAGGAACACACTGAACTCGAAGCATTCTTGCCCAGTGTAATGCTGGGTAAAATTAAGAGTAGGTCCCAGACTCATAGCATGACACTACCAGATCCATGGTGGGCACCACGACCAGGACAGGTGCCAACCTAGTTCCAGGTCACAGATAAAAGGCAGACTGAGAAGGGACCTATACCTGGGTAGACCCTGATAGGAAGGCCCTGGGAGGCCCTGGGTGGTATACCAAGAAAGGAGGAAAGTTCGGAAACAAGAAGGAGCAGTGTGTCTCAAACCCTGAATGGGGTCTCAGTTCCAACATTTTACCCAGCCTGAAGAGGAATAACCAGGACAAGATTAATTCCCAGATCCAAAGAAAGCCTGCTGTGAACCAGCAGAGCTTTCCAGCTGGCTGATAGGGGCCAAGTCCAGGAGCAGTTTCCTGTTGCTCAGATCCAGACATAGGTTAGGACTTTGCAGAGCTCAGACCAGAGGGGCAGCAATGAGACTTTGACCTGGATCAAACCACTTTGGGATCACCAAAAGCTTTCAGTTACCCAGCCCGTCCTTGAGATCCTAGAATAACACAACACTCACCATCTCAAGAAAGCAGGCAACAGGACCAGCCCAGACCTTCTCTCCAGAAACATGTTAGAACCCTAATATCAAGTCTGAAGTCAGGATGTAGGTTAGAAGTATGAGGAAAAGAAAATCTTACCACAAAGAGCTGTTATAGTGGCAAGCAAACTCAAGACAGAAATGCAGAAGAGGAGAATGATTCCAAAACATTTATAAGCAAAATTTTAGAGGAAAACACAGCTTGGGCACAAACTCAGCTAGAGGAAATGAAGCAAGAGTTTTTAAAATGAAATAAAGGGCTTGAGGAAAGAAGTGGGAAAGAATGAGAACTATGGAAGGAAAAATTGGACAAGGAATTAGCAGCTTGAAACAAGCCGTACAAAACCTTGCCCAAGTTTGCAAAATCCCTGAAAATCAGAATGGACCAAACAGAAGCTAATGACTTGATGAGGCAACAAGAAATATTAAAAGAGGGTCACAAGACTAGAAAAAAATGGAAGAAAATATAAGGTATCTCATAGCAAAAACAACTCACCTGGAAATCAGATTGAGGAAAAAAAAATAAGAATCATCAGACTATCTGAATGTCTTAATGAAAGCAAGAGCCTAGACATCCTGTTTCAAGAAATCTTAGAAAAATGCCCAAATCTCTTAGAAACAGAGGGCAAAGTGAAAATAGAAAGAGTCCACTTGCCACTGTCGATGGGGAAAAAAAACCCAGAAAACTCCTAGGAACATCAAAGCCAAAATCCAGAACTTCCACATCAAAGGAACAAGCATCCAGAAAGAATTCAGTTACTGAGGAGCCATAGTCAGGATCAAACATGATTTAACAGCCACCACTATAAAGGAGAAGAGAATTTGGAATGTGATATTCCAGAAGGCAAATAATATTTGGATACACCCAAGAACAACTTACTCAACAAACTGAGTTTAATGATATAGGGGCTAGGGAGGTGAGGAATGGATCTGTAATGAAATAGAAGACTTGAAAGCATTCCTGGTGAAAAGACCACATCAGTGTAGAAACTCTGAAACTCAAACACACTAATAAAGAGAAACATAAATAGGTCAACGTGAATGGATAGTGATAAAAGACTAAACAAGGATAAACAGCGTACGTTAAAAAATGGGAAGGTGATAGATGTGTCCTCTCTGAACCCTGTCATCATCAGGGGTCATAGAGGGAGTCCAATTAGACAAGACCTGGGAGTGGTGCTGTTATGTCTTGATGATCTTAAGAAAAGAATGTAATAAGAGGGGAAAAGTAGTATATTGAGGGTGAGGAGAAGAAAAGGGAAGGTTAGGGTAAATTCTCTCACGTAATCAGAGTACGCATCTATACAAACGAGAAGGGAAGAGGAGCAGCTACCATTGGAATCTCACTTTTCATCTGAACTGGTCAAAAGAAGGAAGAAAATACACACACACACACACACCCATCAGGTACAGAAATACATTTGACTCAACAGAAATAGGAGGGAAAGTAAGAGGGAGAACTAGAAGAAGGGTAGATCAAGGGAGGGATTAGTTCTAAGTAAAACAAATTCTAAGAATGTATAAAAATATAGCTCTTTTTGAGGTGTCATAGAATGGGAATCTGAGGGGGTGGCGTAAATTAGGGAATGGGTGAAACAAGATATATGTGAATATGAAGGAATATTATTGTGCTGAACTCTTATCAGTGTAATAACCATCCAGGATTCAAGAGGACTAATAATGAAACATGCTGTCTACCTCTAGAAAGAGAGGTGAAGGATTCAGAATACAGAGTAAGACAACTTTTTTTTGGACATGACCAATGTGGAACTTGCTTTGATGGACTACACATCTGTGTAATGGGTCTTGTTTTTCTTAGTTGGGGGAGAGGGACAAAGTGAGTGGGAGAGTGAGAAGATGGAATTGCAGAACAACTTAGAATTACAAACACAGGAGTGAAGAAAAACGTAAAAAGGTAAACATTCATGAATAATGATAAAGTACTTAACAAAGATAAACTACATACATTCAGATATGGGGAGATAATACATGTATCCCCTCTTATCCCTGTCATCAGAGGTCATAGAGGGTCTTGTTAGACAAGGCCTGGAAGTGGTTCTGTGATGTCTTGATGGTCTTAAAAGAAGAATGGAAAAAGGGGCAGCTAGGTGGCGCAGTGGATAGAGCACTGGCCTTGAAGTCAGGAGGACCTGAGTTCAGATCCAGCCTCAGACCAAATAGTTGACACTTACTGGCTGTGTGACCCTGGGCAAGTCACTTAACCCCAATTGCCTGGAAAAAAAATGAGAGAGAAGAAGAGGAGTCTACTAGAGAGTAAGAGAAAATTATCTCATATAATCAGGGTGCTTAAGTAGACATCTATGTATACAAGGAGAGGGAGAGGGTGCAAGAGAGCAGCTGACACTTAAAACCTCACTTCCTATGTGAACTGGTCAAAGGAGGGAACAGCGCACACACACACACACACACACACACACACACACACAGTGTTGGGTACATAAGTACATTTCACTTAACAGGGAAATAGAGAAAAGGGAGGGAGGGCAACTTAGAGGATTAAGGGAGGGATTAGTCCTAAGCAAAGCAGGCTTTAAGGATGTAAAAATATATAGCTCCTTTTGAGGTGGCAAAGAATAAGAATCTGAGGGGGTGCTCATAATTTGGGAATGGCTGAAAAAATTATGGTGATAGAATACTATTGTATTATGTTATGTTGTTCATCTTTCGTTTTTGAAGGGGACCAGTGACATCATGGGAATATTATCTTGACTTGCATATGAATTGGATTTAAGTGAGGCAGAGTCGTGTGAAGCCTCACTTATTCTTCCTGAGTCATTGAAGTTCCGAGGCAAGACAAAAGTCAAGATGACTGGAGGTGGCTCAGGATGCAGTGGATGACCTTGGCATCTTCAATGTTTGACCAAGCTATGTACCAAGTTAATAGTACAAGTACTATTAGAGGAAATGATGAAAAGGATAGATTCCGAGAAACCTGAGAAGGTTTACATGAACTAATACAGAGTGAAATTAGCAGAGTCAGGAGAACAATTTATACAGTAACAGCAACAATATAAAGATAGCTTTGAAAGACTTAAGACCTTTGATCAATGGAATGACATAGGACCAGTGATAAAGCATACCACTTATCACCTGACAAGTGATGAATTCAAGCTGAAAATGAGACATTTTTGGATATGCCAATGTAAACATTTGTTTTGCTTGACTATTCATATTTGTTTACAAGGGGTTTGGTTTGGTTTTTTTTCAATGGAAGAGGGAGGTGAGAGGGAGAAAAAAATAAATTGTTAATTGAAAAAATAATATTTAAAAGAAAATCAAAACATTAGAAAGAGGTCAAGAAGGATGAGGATTGGAAAAGGGATATTGGATTTGGCAGTAAAGTGATCATTGGTGACTTGGGAGATCACAGTTTCAGTCAAGTGGTAGAGATGGAAGCCAGATTGAAAGAGGAGGTGAGAAAGTAGAGACAACAGAGTATAATAGCTTTTTTTAGGAGTTTGGCTTTGAAGGGAGGGACAGAAATAGGATGTTACCTGAGGGGATGATTTTATCAATTTAAGGTTCTTTAAGGATGGGGAGAGAAATGGATATATTTATAGGAAGCAGGGAAAAAGCCAGTAGTATATGGAGAGATTAAAATTAAGGAGAGAGAAGAGATAGAAGGAGGGAACAAGAGGAGAATACGATCTGGGGCACAAGTGGAGGGGTACGTATTGTCAAGGAAAGGGACTGCTTTGTCTTCTGTGGCCAGAACAAAGAGGAGAGAATAAGGAATAATGTTGAGATTTGAAGTATGAAATTGAGTGAAAAGGAGGTTCATGGTCAGTGCCCTTAATGGACTGTGAGGTGAAGCCTTTTACTGAGAGGGAATTGGGAGGACTGGAGAAGGGAATAATTGGACTGTCAGATAAGGAAGAGTGAAGGGATTGTCATGCAGAGGTGAAGGACCAGTTGAGACTGGAAAACAAAGTTCTGCTGACTTCAGTCACTATCTTTGCATAACTTCCTTTGGCAGAATTCTGTAGCATTGGAGAAGGGATAGAGACAGGGGAGGTGTGGGAGTAATTGTTGGTGGAAGTACAGAATGGGAAGAGTAGCAATCACATGGGACAAGAACTGAAAGCTGGAGAATAGCATACATTTAAACTGGTTAACTAAAGAGTCGAGATTTTAAAGAGAGGAGAGTGAAGCCTGGGTAGACAGCTCAGTAGTGGAATTTAGATGTGGCTGTGAAGGCAGAGAATAGTCTTCTGCCTAGATGTAATAGCTAAAGTCATGGAAGAGAATGAGATTGTTAAGTGTGAAAGAAGAGAAAAGGGTTGAGGACAGACTCCTTTTCTTTAAATTTTTTTTTCCATATGCTTTTCAGTTGAAAATTTTTTTCTCCCTTTTTCTCCCCCCCCACCCTCCCCAAGACGGCGCACAATCTGACATAGGCTTTACATTTACATACCCGTTAAACATATTTTCACATTAGTGAAGTTGTAAGTAAAAATTAAAACTAATAGGAGGAACCATCAGAAAGATGAAACAAAATTCAACTTAAGGTAAAAATAAGTGAGAGCGATTCGACTTCCATAGTTCTTTCTTTGGATGTGGACAGCATTTTCCATCCCGAGGCCTCTGGAGATGTCTTAGATCCTCGTAATGCTGAGAAGGGTTCAGTTTAACATTCTTAGTCATTGCATAACGTGGCTGCTATTGTATACAAAGTCCTCTGGGTTCTGCTCACTTCAGTCAGCATCAGACCATATAAGTCTTTCCAGGTTTTTCTGCAGTCAGCCTGTTCATCATTTCTTATAGAACAATAGTATTCCATTACATTCATATACCACAACTTGCTGAGCCATTCCCCAATGGATGGGCATCCTCTCAATTTCCAATTCTTTGCCACCACAAAAAGAGCTGCTATGAATATTTTTGTACATGTGGGTCCTTTTCCCATTTGTTTGATCTCTTTGAGATATAGCCCTATGAGGACAGACTCTTGAGATGCACTTATGTTATAGGTCTGAAAAGAAGATGAACAGGTGAACAGTACAGAGGAGGAGCACTCTGATAGGGATAGCTTGAAAGAAAACCAAGTGCAGTTTTCTCTGAAACTATGGGGGAAGGGGAAGCATATGCAGTAGGAGGTTATGGTCAGTTGTGTCAAAAGCTTCCAAAGTAATGGAGGTTGAGGACTGAAGAAGAGTCATTGGATTTGATGATTAAAGGTAGGGGATCTTGGAGAAAACATTTTCGATACAGTGTGGAGGTGGAAAGCCATAGTGCAGGCAGTTAAAGAGAGAGTGGGTAAGAAGATAAAGAGATGTTCATTGCAGACGGCTTTTAAAGGGATTTGGCAGTGAAGGGGAGCTATGAGATAAGATGGCAATTGAAAGAAGTTAAAGGAAGGATTTTTTTTAGAATTGGAAAGACCTCAGTAAGTGTAATCAGATGAGGAGTCAGTGAAAAGAGAGAGAAATTGAAGATTTAGGATGGATGGAAAGGAATAGAATCCATAAAGGTTCGGCAATGGAACAGATGACAAAACCTAGAGGTCCTTAGTGTACACCCTCAGGTCAGATGATGTGCCCAGGGTCTAGAGAGCATAGTGGCAGGGTAGATGGTAAGGTCTGGTGGTCCTTCATCTCACTGGAGGACTCATTGGTGACTCCCAGCTCTCCCAAGAAATAGCCGTGGCCCTCTTCCCCTCTCAGCTGCTACATGGGCTCTGGGCAACCATGGTTAGGGAGGAGGTAAAGGGAAAGCAGTGGGACTGGGCACTTTCCTCTCTCCCTCTGTGATTCTCCTTGCCACTCTGGCCTCCCTGGGGTCTTGGTTAGATCAGGATTCATTGGGGTATTAAGAGCTCAGAGTAGAGATCATTTTTCTGTGACCAGTAGGGAGGACAAAAGTGTGAATAATGATGCTGAGAAGTTTTGAGGAATGTGAAACTGAGGATCTCATGCCAGATGGACTCAGTCTTCTCAGTGAAGTAGGAGGCTAGGTCATCTGTTGTAACTGTTGAGGAATGGTTTGGGGTAAGATCTTAGGAAAGCAAAGATTTGGAGCAGATACTGTAGAGAATAAAGTAGGGAGTTGATAAGGGCAGGAGTAGGATTGTTAGCCCCACTAACATTCCAAATTCATAGTTTAATTTCATGATTCACACTCAGCAAGCTCAATACAGGGGAAAAAATTCTTCTAACATTAGTAATTAGTCACTGGTCAAAGTATTTGTCATGTACCTGTCTGTGCTCCCCTAACAGTTTTTCTCCTTTTCAGTGGAAGATGATGATGATGACCTTCCAGAGCTGAAGAAAGATTCAGAACTGCCCTTTGTTCCCAATTATTTGGCTAACCCACCCTTCCCTTTTACATATACCACCACACCAGATGGTTCTGCTCAGCTGCAAAATGGGAGATCCTCCACACCTCCTGCATCACCTCCGTCTGATCACTCGATTCCTGTGGTGCCACCTGGTGAAACACCCCGACTAGGGTCCTTTTCACATGACCATACCTCCTTGGCACTAGTCCAGAATGGGGATATGTCTGTCCCCTCTGCCATATTTAGAAAACCAGAAAGCACAAAACCTGGTCCTGTTTGTCAACCACCTGTGAGTCACAATCGCTCCCTGTTCTCTCCTGTCACATCCAAGGCACCAGTGTCTCTGGATCAACAGAATGGGACTTTTACAGGACCAACACCAGCATTCCAGCCATTTTTCTTCACCGGAGCTTTTCCATTTAATATGCAAGGTAACATGTCAGCAGACCTGCCCCAGGCGCCAGGTAGATAGTACAGGCCCTGTGTTTCATCTACTCCTTTGTGAAATACCAAGGTTGCTGGTAATGATGGTACAGGTGTACTGTGAGGGTATTACATAGCCATGAGAGAAGAAAAAAAAGTAAACAAATACAAATAGCTGCCTTGGGTTTTCATAAAATTATACCCTATTTTGATGGGATGCAGAGGAGAGAAGACCAAAGTCTCTAAGAAGAACGTTTAAAAACCAAGGATCTATATTTATAGTTCTGTGCTATTACTCTGAGATGAAATTTTAGGTAGCACAATTACCTCTTTTTTTTAGTGACTCATCATTTTGAGGTTTGACACATTCTTGCTAATAGCTTCTGCATTCTTCTGCCTTCAGAATTGTTTGAGCTTATTTTTGTAACCAGCTAGCCCATTAGCCTTTTACCTACTTTCTTTCCTTTCTCTTCCTCCCACCCTTTTTGTAACCCATTTCTTAAACCTGTTTCTAAGCTTTCATTGACCACCAGTTCGACTCTCCAGCAGTGAAATCAGCCTTGTCCTTTCTAATATCTAAGACAAAAGCTTAAATTTATACAGCGATAGTCGATACTTTTAGGGCATACCATTTTGTTCGTCGTGATACAGATTTGGCCATAGGAAAGCATGGAGACTCACCCAGGGTCCCAGAGCAGATCAGCTATTCAATTCATTGAAGTACAACAAACATTTAAGTACCTATCATGTCCCCAGTGGAGAGGGAAAAAAAATGAAAACGTCCCTTCCCTCTAGGGGATTACATTCAAATGGAATTCTTTCCCCACTATTCTGAAATTCCTGAGGACTAGAGCTTTATAAAAGGAAATTTTCAGAAAAGCAATTCACATGTGTTGTAATACCATAGGATAATTGTTTTCTGCTACTTTAGTGATAAACTGATCAAAATTACTTATATTAGGATCCATATTTTAGGGCATAAATCATGACAAGTTAAAGCTAAGGTTAGAAATCAAAAATTTGTTTTCCACAGTGGTGAGTTGTAACACTAAACTGCATAGCCTCAGGAGCAGAACTTTGATCTGGGAAAGAGCTGAAATTAAATGGGATAGACCAAAAGGAGAACACTTCAATGAGTTGGATTTCTTACTTAAAAGTGATTTGTTTTGCTTTTTAAAAAAATTACCTTTTTTGGGGCAGCTGGGTGGTGCAGTGGATAGAGCACCGGCCCTGGATTCAGGAGGACCTGAGTTCAAATCCGGCCTCGGACACATAATACTTACTAGCTGTGTGACCCTGGGCAAGTCATTTAACCCCATTGCCTAGCCAAATAATAATAATAATAATAAATACTATTTTTTAAAAAATTACCTTTTTTTAGAGCTGGTACTCAAGGTGAGAATTCAGAATCCATCTCTTCGAGAAAATGACTTCATTGAGATTGAACTTGATCGACAAGAACTCACCTACCAGGAACTGCTCAGAGTGAGTTGCTGTGAACTGGGTGTTAATCCAGAACAAGTGGAGAAGATCAGAAAGTTACCAAATACTCTGTTAAGAAAGGTAAGAACAGGGGCAGCTAGGTGGCACAGTGGATAGAGCACCAGCCCTGGATTCAGGAGGACCTGAGTTCAAATCCGGCCTCAGACACATAACACTTACTAGCTGTGTGACCCTGGGCAAGTCTATTAACCCCATTGCCTAACCAAAAAAAAAAAAAAAGAAAGGTAAGAACATGGCTATGAGTACTTGTTTTTTGCCTTATATTTTTGGAAGTCAGAATGCTGCATTAACATACCCCAGTTCCTGTTGGGCTTTGTTTGAAACCTGGATAGAGGAATACAGGGTAGAAAATGAGCATACTGTATTCCTCAAATTCTTTTTCCTCCATCAAGCGTGGAGATAGTGTCTGTCATTCCTGAAGACATGAAATAAAATGTTCTAGATTAGCTATTCACCTGAACCTGTCCTAAGTGTCATTTGTTTTCAGCTACCCTCGTAATGAAGTAGTCAGAATGCCTTCAGTGCCCTCTTCTAGCTAAGTAGTTATTATTTCTCTTCTGTAAAATGCAGATGATGATAGGACTGCTGTGAGGATCAAATGATAAACATATACAAAGCACTTTGCAAACCTTAAAGCATTCTATAGATACTATTATTAATAAATACACATATGTAACCCTGACTGCTCCCTCAGTTGGCCTGCGTGCTTCTTTTAATCTTGACTACTGCCACTATTTCTGGGAGGTATCATGCAGGACATTGTACATACATGTGGAAGCAAAAGAATCCTCCATTATTCATTGCTACTAATTTTTGTTTTAGGACAAAGATGTTGCCCGGCTTCAAGATTTCCAAGAGCTGGAACTGGTTCTGATGATAAATGAAAATAACTTTCTATTCAGAAATGCTGCATCAACACTGACTGAAAGGCCTTGCTATAATAGGAGAGCTTCAAAACTGACTTACTAACAGCATCAGGGATCCTTACCACTGAGTATTGGGACGGCACATGTCAGTTCCTGTCCAAGGACAAACCATTGATCTAAAAATCAAGGCTAATGCCCTAAAATTCTGCAGTTACCTGAGAGGGCCATGGGTACCATAGCATAGTGCATACTAACACAGTTCTGCCCTATAGCTGTCAATGATGATTGCAGAGCAGATTAATTAACCTGTTCTGACCAAGCAGAAACCCCCAACCCACAAGCCGTGGTGCTGCTCTTCCTTGTCTCTTGGTGCACAAACTCCTTGCTTAAAGCTTCGAATCCCTGAAAAGTTGCCCAGAGAGACAAAAGCTAAAGGTTTCTTTATAGATTATGTTTTATCTGCAAAATGAAAGAGCCCCCTGGCAAAAGGGTAGAGGGTGGAGCCTGTTCTTAAACCAAACTCTTAAACACTACCTTGACAAGAGGAAATAATCTTTTCCTGGTGGTGATTGCACACAGTTCCCATTTAGTATCAGCTAAATGGAGTGGGGAATAGCCTCAAAACTATATCTGATTAAGGACATTTTCAAAGCTTCAGTATGTTGGGGGCAAATACAGGTACCAGACAGATGAATTTATGTGACTTGCAGCTATAAGGTAATATATTCATAAATGTTACTCAGGTTAAAGGTATTTAAGGCTACAGTAGCATACCCTAGTTGTAAATATGCTGTCGACCAAAATAGCTTCCCTCCTGTTTTCCTTTGTAAAAACCCATTCATGACTGCTTATCTGTTCACAGTATGAAAATCATTGCCTAGAAAATAGGTTATCTCTGCATTAACTTCTTAGTGGTCACTAGAGGTCTCTCTAATGCTTCTTAAAAAAGTAACCAGATTTCTTACTCCTTGAAGCAATTACTGTCATCAACATGCTTAATTTCAACATGTAAAAAAGCCCAAATGCTGCAGTCCCAGGGTCTCCACCTTCACTTTCCATTAGAATTAAAAAGCAATGTTAAGGTTGTTCTGTTGCTATTTTGAAGGCTATTGTGAAAAACATAGCAGAAAAGGGGTTAGCATCTTTATTTTTATATCAAAGATAAAGTTATTTTAAAATTATTAGGATTTCTATGCAACTTGAAACTCTCTGTTGCTTTTGTAAGCAAATTATGTTGGGTCTTTGAGTTTTGTGTTTTTCTACTTAAAGCCAATTGTAAGCCTCACATGACTTTCTGGAATAAGTTAATTGAGAAGAACTGATTAAACTCTTGTGCATGGCATAAGAATTTTTTAATGGATTAATTCAAGGTTCTTTTTTTCTTCCAGTGTCTTTAGTGCTAAAGAGAAGCTACTGTCTTGCTTAAACTAACAACTTAACTTCCGAAATAAGAATTAGCACACTTAAAAAAACAAGATGGTGGGGGACAGGAAGCCAGCTGTTGAGTGGCATCCCTGCTGTCTTAGGAAGCTTTTTTCCCCATAGTGCCTATAGTTTCCAAAGAAACTTAACTTCCTAACTGTGTTAACTTAATTTTATTGGAACACTACAATTTAGTGAGAATGTACAAAAGATGTCAGTGGAATAGAATGTTGTCCTGAGGTAATGGCCTCCTGCTGCTACCTAAATGCTGAAGCTGGGTTGAGGTGTTTTTCAAGGCCAGCTTAATCCTGTGTCAATCTGTTTTGCAACTTAATTCTTGTTCTACCAAATTACTGATTGTGACTTACCCTTGTACTAGGTGTTTGTATAGTAGAATGAAGGTTATTTATTACTTACCTACTTTCTCCCAAGTGGTTTAAGGTAGAGACCTCCCTTGTGCTTTAGCCAACTGGAAAGTGAATTTGCTCAAAAGTACTAACCATTTTTTGTTTGCTTTGGAAAAAGACTTCATATTGTACTGATATGATGAAGGCCAGGCCTCTGTCAGAGGAGACAAGCCTAGTATAACCTCGCCTTGAACCTACTTGGAACAAAACTCTTTCAGCCATGTGTGGTAGTAGTTGGTGGCTGGATATGTCTCTTCAGTGTAGCAGCAGGTAGACACAACCCAGAGTGGTTCTCAAGCTTATTCTGTCTTCAGTCAGCTCTGAACTTAAAGTAAAAACAAAAGAACTTGGGGACCCAGAGGTGAATTATAGGCCTGGTGGAGAGTTGCCCTAAACCGATCTCCTTCCTAAAACTATGTCTGGTCAGTTGGTTGAAACTCACATTTAGCATCTGAATTATAAGGCACAGTTGCTGGTAGGTGAGTTTAACGTCTTAATCTATGCATTCAGAGAAATATTTTTATATGCTTTGTGTAATTTATAACAAGGATTTTTTTTAGCTTTGTTAACTGTGAATCTCCCCCAACTGCATAACTAAAGCATGTGTTCACACCATGTATAAACATCTGAAGGTTTTTCTCTTCATGCATTGCTGACTATTTAAACGTAACAAGTATTATTAAAATTAAATATTAACTGCCTGAAGTCTGGATTATTTCATTCCTGATTTTTACTAAAACAAATACAAAACCACAACATCTGTAAACTAGGGGAAAGTCTCAGGAGACAGAGTCTTTGGAATAATAGACATTTTTCTATTCCTGGACCTCTTGCTGCAGCCACATTGTCATTGTCACCCAGAGGTGGACATTTTGTTTGGTGTCCTTTCCACAGTCCATAGCAGAAGCCTTTATTTCCCCAGAGCAGTCAAGCATACGAGATGTAAAGGTCATTACTGACTGACCGAATTTTGTGTTAATCCCATTTAAATTACCCAACAGAGACTGACTTGGGCTGTCAGCTTCTGTTATGGAACCAATAAGAGCAGAGTCCTCCAAGGACAGGAAAGGAGGAGCAAGCTTACATGTATCTTCAGGTCTTTGACCAGGAAAGATGCAAAATTTATGTTGTTTTAAAGAAGCCAGAGCCTGAAAAAGTAGGCCTTATTCCAAATTGGCCTAATAAATCGTAATGCATCACTGAGACCTTTTCTTAGCACTAACTAGAGGCAGAATAATTTAGGCATGTGTGTTCTCATAGTTGTTTGATCATAAGGATGGAAGACTGCCCCATGCCCATAATAAACATCTGAAAAGAAGCAGCCTGTCAAAAAAAATGTGATTAACCTTTTAGCAAATGGTCCTGCAGCAGAGACTGACCCAGAGTATGTGGGAAAACTAGATCAAAGAAAGTATCTATATACCAGCCACAAAGCCACTCAAGGCAAATTAAAGCAAACCCAGAAACAAAGAAGTCATAACATACTGAAAAGAAAAGACATGATATAGGGAGATGACTCTCTCCACCCTCCCAACAGCCCCAACTCCCCCCTTCTCCCAGAAAAAAAGCAACTAAGCCTTAAATAACAAAGAAGAGAGATTGGTTTCATTTCACAAGCTTGGTACTTGAAGCAAACTTTGACCCAAAGAAGATAAACCTGTTTTCATTCCTCTGCTTAAAAATTTAGGATTTAATTTGCAGCTCTGACACCTTGTTTACTAGTCTGGGATTGTTAAGTTGTATAGGCAGAGGTATCAGCACATCTGTGCCACATTTGGCTTCTAGAAATGAGAAGGAAGGATATATAGGCCTCACACAGAGCCAAAGAGAATCAACCAAACCTACTCCATTCTGACCTTGTTGGGGGAGCATATTGACAAAGCACCCCACAACTCCCAGCCTCACTGAAAAGAGGTACCAGCTGGTATTAAGAGGATGACTGTAGGAATTGTTATGGCACTTCGACCCCCTAGTCACAAGTTTTCCCAAGTCCTTGCAGTCCAGATTCCAGGTAGATAAAAGGATCCTTGTTGGTTACCTTTTCCCAGAATCTGTACACAGAGCAAATGCTTCTCATCAGAGTAGTTATGTAAGCCAAAAGCTTTAGTGTTTGAATTTTCCAGATATTTGCATTCAGGTAGATCTCCCCTCTTGGAACCCTTATGGACAGGGACACACACACACACACACCACACACACACACACACACACACACACACCAATAAACAGCACCTGTGTACAGTGGCTACCATTTATCTTTTATTTCATCAGTGCTGTGGTCTTAATGGCTTCACATTAGGACTAGGTACCTGAGCATAGAAAAAAGGTTTTTTGGGGGTGGGTTTTGGGACCTGTAAAGGTATCATTCTAGATTTTATTTTTATATACTTTTGAACAAAATATGAGAATAAAAATTTGGGGCTGAGTTTTGGGGTGCACAAGGGTGTCGTTACAATACACGTTTATGTTGGAGGAGTGGTACTGTGAAAAGAGCACAGGATTGGGAATGAGGAGACCAGTATTCTAATTCTGGGATTGCTCATAAGAAGCTCTGTCATTGTGGGCTTCGTTTCCAGGTGAAGTAGGATCTGGATCTTCTGTCTCCCAGTCCAGCATTTTCTGCTGTACCAAACTGCCTCCCTTTAAAACAAGGGGATTGGATTAAATGAACTATCAAGTTCTCTTTTTGCTTTCGAGTTCTGCAATTCTTTGCACAGTATTCTTAAGAAGAAGGAAAGAAAGTCCACTCTGTGTTATTTTCCCCTGCAAAGGGCAGCCAGTGATGACCAGGATAAAATAGGGAGAGTCCATTTAGGCAAGTCCAGCATCTTTAGCCATCCCATAGAAGATGCCTCTGGCCATGATGAGATTTGTTGGAGAATCAAATTCTGCTATTGTCCCTTTGTCCAAAACCAGGACCCTGTGCCAGAGAAGGGAAAAGTCAGATGCTCATCAACAGTCAAACCCTCCACAAATCCCACTGGGCTGAAAATCAAGAAACCTCCCCCCTTGCCCACCTGCCTTTAGGGAGCTGACACACCAGGCCACACTGGGCTGGAGGAAAGATAACATACATCATTTCCCTGCATAGAAAGCAAGGTGGAGAATGTACCTCCTGTGCGCATGTGCGCATTATAGATCTTTTTCTTTCCCTGTAAATGGGGTGATTTCAGGGATAAAACACAAGGCCTGATTCATCTCTGCCCGCTTAGCAGCTGCAATCTTCCCTAATGAGTCCTCTCCCTGCCCTGCTCCTCTCTGAACAGTCACGTGGTACCACAGGGGATGGGGAGAGGCTGCCCGGGTCGGTAGCTGCAAACCGCAGCCCTTCTTTGCTTTTAGACCTCTTTCTTTCTAAAAGCGCACACACAAAGGCGGAGGGATTGCTAACGAAGTCCAAACGGTTTCTTCTTCTTCACCACGGGGAGGGAGCACGGCTGCAGCATGAGGCCAAACCGACCACGTGTGCAGGGGAGGCCGCAGGGGTCGCCTCTATAACTAGACTGGGAGTTGTGGCTGTGATCCCAAAGGCAGCGGCAAAGTTCACCAAGCACCCAACGGAGCGATCCCTCCGCCCTCCCTGTCTCCCGCTATTCTTCCCAGCCTGCCTGCTGCATTCTCTTATTCTCCCAGCTACCAGCCAGCTTTGTTCTGCCTCAGCCAGATGAATGACATCCTTGCTCACAATGAAGCTGCCTGGGAACAAAAAGCCAGGCAGGATCCAGGATGATTGCCACTGTCCACCTGTGCCCTGGGCCCAGGCCAGAGGAAAAGCCAGATGGGGTGGGGGTGGGCCCTGCAGTAGGGGAGCAGGGAGGGAAACAAGAGCCAGCATCTGGAATTTCTAGCCCTCCTTTTTTTCTCCAAGGGGGTCCTGCTCTGCTGTTCTCCATGTCTTTGGGGGAGAATCCTCAGCTGTGGCTTTTGCTCCTTTCTTGGGGTGGGGTGGGGTGAGGAGGAGAATCTGAATATAGTTCCCCATTTAATCAGATGCACATCCCTGTTATCTTAACTCTCTGGAAAGATGTGCTTCTCTGTAAAGGAGATCCCACTTTCTCCACCACCACCAACCCTCATCTTGACCCAGGGGAATATAGGTTCCAGGGCCCAAATAAGGGAAATTAAAATGCTTTCAAATGATCTCTGAGAGGCAGCAAGGTACAGTGGGCCAAAGGCTGGATCTTGAATCCAAGGACTTGTCTAATCCCTTGATTCCCTGTGTGACTTTGGAGAAGTCACTTAAATGTCTCTGGGCCTCAGTTTTCTCATCTGTAAAATGAGGTTGGATTAGAGGTTCCTTCTACCTCAAAATCTATGATCCTGTGAGCCTCAACTGTTCTAGAAGTTGCCTCGGCCTCAAGGCTCACTCCACCACTGAGCTTCCTCTGATGACCACCCCTTATGTACAGCCCTGGCTAGTCAAGGGACTCCACATCCTTTGGGGTTCCTCTGTGGCCCAAAGAAAGTCACTGCCTGTGGAGAGGGGAAGATCATTGCTTCCTATTCTATGGGAATGATCCTTTTCCTATAAGAACCTGTAGCTGGAAACTGGTGACTGAACATTCTTGCCTTCAAACCTTTGCTCACACTCTCTCCTCTCCTTTCTATAATGTAATGGAAAAACAATAAGTGTTTATTATATGCTCAGCACTGCAGTAAGTTCTGGGGCTACATATAGAAAAGAGACAGATCCTGTTCTCAGGGAGCTCCCACTCTAATTAGGTCAGACTGTTTAAAGGAGGGGTCAGTTTCATGGCAGATGGAAAAACCAAGAGGTACTTAGTGTCTTCCAGGCACAGAAGACAAGGCCTCAAGCACCTCAGGGCAGTGGGTCCCCCCCCCACCATGCTTTCCCTCAGTCCTGATTCTCAGGCCACCTTGTCTCTCTCACTCTCTCTCTCTCTCTTTTCTCTCTCTCTCTCTCTCTCTCTCTCTCTCTCTCTCTCTCTCTCTCTCTCTCTCTCTCTCTCTCTCTCCCCTCCTCCTCCCCCTTTCCCAGCAAGTGACCTTCCTCCACCTACTCCCAAGTCTGGAGCCAAGAACCATGACCATGACATACTCTACTATTGTTCCTGGATGGGATGTTTCAATATCTTCCCCTATTTGCTCACCCATTTTGTAACTTTCTGGACCAAAATGCCCCTCACTGGCCACCACTCCCTTTTGTGTTTTGTAAGCTCTTTGAGAGCAGGGATTGTCTTCATTTTTGTATTTGCATTTCTAGTACTTAACTCAGAACCTGGCACATAGTAATCAATCACTTAAATGCTTATTCAACACATATATACATATACATACATATGTTATACACACATAATAAACATATTGTATATATATACATACGTGTGTATGTGTGCTAGCTGTGTGACTCTGGACAAGTCACTTAACTTCTGTTACACACATATATAAACACATATATGTATACATGTGTGCTCAAGTGAGAGCATGTGTAGCCTTCCCTTACCCTCCCCCCCCCACACCACCTCCACCTCCATTAACCATCTTTTCAAGGCTCAGTTCATGTCCCACCCAGCCTTCCCAAACAGCCCACATGGAGGCTGCTTCCTCTGAATTCCTATATCACTTATTGTCTGTATTACTCATTGGGCACTTAGCATAATAAGTACATTACACTGCAACTCATCTTTTCATGTATATGCCGTGTCTTTCCAAAAAGCATGAAAACTATGTAAGGGCAGAGACTG